TTTTTTTTTTTTTTTTGAGAGGTTTTTGCTATAGGGCATGTGCGCTTGCCAGAAAGACAGAGAGAGACAGAGAGACAGAAAGCGAGAAATCATCGCCCAGGGGGATGGCCATGCTGCAATCCATTCTCCTCTCGGGATCTTGGGCACGCATGAACACGCACCTGGTGTGAGTTTAAGCCACTGGGTCCGGGACTCGAACCACGGTCGACTACATGGGGGTCCAGCGACATAGCCATTACGCTAACTGCTGGTTCCTGTTTGTTTTGACTTTTAATAACAAGAGAACCACTCCTGTTATGTGGAAATCATGCTATTTTCAATATCTTACTACCTATTAATTCATTCAACACACACACATGCACACATACATTTTATAGAGCACAGGTACATGTCTGCACATGAGAGAGAGAGAGAGAAAGGAAAGATAGAGAAAAGCACCCTAGACAGGATCTTGTCACACTACAATCCCCATTCTCCATTCCTCCAGCTCCTCAGGATCCTATGCACATGCCCAGTGTATTTTCAAACCAGCCTGGGGATCCAAACCCGTGGTAGGCCACATCCCAGCCTTTCAGGGTTTTGCATTACTGCTGCACTGAAACAGCTGGGCCACACTGAACAAATATTTATCAAAAACCTACAAGGTGTCAGGCATTGTGTTAGCAACTAGACACTGGTTGATAGAATAGACCTTGCTCCTGTCCTCTTGGGACTTACTATTTAAAGAGACAAGAAAGTAAATGGAATATACACCACTGCAAATTGTGCTAACTTCTCTAAAGAAATGAACAGGGGGAACCAGCAGTTAGCGTAATGGCTATGTCGCTGGACTCCCACGTAGTCTACCGCGATTCGTGTCCCGGACCTGGTGGCTTAAAACTCACGCCGGGCGCGTGTGCGTGCGTGCCCAAGATCCCGAGAGGAGAATGGAGGAGAAGGGATTGCGGCGTGACCATCCCCCCTGGGGGGTGATTTCTCGCTTTCTGTCTCTAATGTCTCTCTCTCTCTGTCTGGCAAGCGCACAAGCCCTATAGCAAAAACCTCTCCAAAAAAAAAAGAAATGAACAGGGACATGGTAAGAATAATTATGGCCACATGGAATTTGACTATTTGCTGTGTTAGGAGGCTGGGGGCTTTTAAAGTCTGATTGGCCATTTCCTACCTGTTTAACCTTGAACAAGTTACTTAAATCACTCTGCACTTCAGTCTCCTAACCTAGAATACGAAAAGAATAATATGGGGTCATCGGAAAAGTCATGACGTATTTTAGTCATGACACATTTTTACATAGAAAAACAGAAAAATACGTCAAGACTCTTCTGACAATCCAATACTTACCTCACAGGGTTATCCTGAAAAATATATGATAGAACTCATGTAAAGTACTTGGAATGCTGCCTGACAAATAGAAAGTACTCAGCGAGCTTAATAATTTAATATGTCCTCTTTGTAGGCTACTCAGATATGTTTATAATAATTCACCGTCGGAATACTCACCACTTGTTCATGGTGTGACCTATCGACAGCACGCAGTGGCCAAGCTTTTACTGCCTGATGCTCTTGACCCTAGAGACCTGTCCCTCTTGATCTGGAGCTCAAGTGACCTCCTCTCTAGGATAGCCTCCAGTTTTCCATCAAAATGTCTGCCCATGCCCTTTCTTCTCCTAGCTAGAATGAAGTGAGAATAGAGGCTTTGAACCGCCACACGTCTGGCTCTGCTATTTATCAGTTGGTCAGATGATGCGAGACAAATGACTTAATCTCTCAAGGCATCGATTTCCCCCTTGGTAAGTGCCTTGGGAGTTTTTGTGATGATGTAGCTAAAGTGCCTAGCTCAGCATCTGGACCGTGGTAACTGATCACTCCGTCATAAGTTTCTCTAGAAATACCTTGAATAAAATTGATAGGAGCGTTTATGACACTGTTTTGTTATATTGATACTTACCTATTTTGGAAAGCATTACAATAGGCAGTGGAAGAGTTAATTGCTTAAATATGATGCCTATCATTCTTTTTTCCAATTTGCTATAGGGCACATGTGATTGACAGAGAGAGACAGAGAGAGGGAAAGTGAGAAATCACCACCTAGGGGGATGGCCACAACACAATTCCTTCTCCATAATGTTCTTCTCAGGATTTTTGCCATGTATGTGTATGTGCCTGGATGTATATTTCCATTTTTTAAAAGAGATAGTTTTGCTATAGGGTACGTGCACACACCAAAGAGACACAGAGAGAAGGAGAGACAGAAATTGAGAAATCATCTCCCAGAGGGGATGGCCACACCACAATCTCTTCTCCATTCTCCTTTCAGTATTCCGGGCATACACCCACAGACGCTCGGAGTGAGTTTCAAGACTCTGGGTCCAGGACTTGAATTGTGGCCGGCTATGTGGGAGTCCAGCAACATAACCATCACACCATCTCCTTATTTCCAGGCTTATAAAACAAAAATTACCCTCAGGGCCAGCAGGTGGCATGGTGGTTAAGGTGTTGGATTCCACAAAGCCTACTGAGTTGTTCCAATACCAGACAGTGACTTGGAAAACATGCCAGGCATGTGTGTGCACCCAAAATCCCAAGAGAAAAATGGAGAAGAAGGGATTGCAGCATGACCATCCCTCTGGCAAATGCCTGTGCCCCATGACAAACAAAAACAAACAAAAAATGTCATCCTCTTTTGCAAATTAACATAAATATTGTATTTTATTTTCTATGTCTTTAAGATTTTTACTATAGGAAATGTGCACTTGCTTGAGAGACAGAGAGACAGAAAGCAAGAAATCAGCCCCCAGGGGCGATGGCCATGCTGCAATACCTTCTCCATTCTCCTCTTGGGATCTTGAGCAAGCACGCATATGAGCCTGGTGTGAGGTTCAAGCCACTGTGTCTGGGACTTGAGCTGTGGTTGACTTATGGGGAGTCCAGTGATGTAACCATTACGCCATCTGCTGACCCCTGACTTTCTGTCTTTTCTTTTTTTCGGAGAGGTTTTTACCATAGGGTGCGTGTACTCACCAGAAAGACAGAGAGAGACAGAAAGTGAAAAATCACCTCCCGGGGGGATGGCCATGCCGCAATGCCTTCTCCTCCATTCTCCTCTGGGGATCTTGGGCATGCACGCACACAAGCCCGGCATGAGTTTAAGCCACTGGATCCAGGACCCGAACCATAGTCTACTACATAGGAGTCTGGCGACATAGCTGTTACACTAACTGCTGGTCCCCTTTCTATATCTTTTAACCTTTGGTTTTTATGTTATTTGTTCTTATACATCTTTCATTGTTTTTTTCCATGCCTGTGGAAAAATGAAGATTCCTACTATATTTAGATTTATTTATTTATTTCAAGTATTTATTTCAAACAGGCTTAAATGGAGAAAGCCAATATCAGCAACTGATTACTAAGAAGTTTTTATTCTAATATCTATATATGTGTGTGTGTGTGTGTATATATATATATATCTGCTCCATTTCTCCATCCGTGAGGATTTAAAACACATGTGCATGCATACCCACACACCTAGTGTGTTGTTCAAGGTACCAGGGTAAAGACTTGAAGTGGGGTTAGTCAGGTGGTACCTGGCTTCCCTTATCACTAGGCTGAGAGCCAGCCCTGTTCCATATTTAGAGGGGTTAGATTCCATGATAGAAGGCTTGGTGAGGTCATAGGTAGTGAGTTAATCGACATGAAGCAGGTGAGTTTATTTCACAGCTGTAGCGAGGTCACTGAATTCTGTTGGCGCACTGGCCAAAGCCTTTCACCTGGCTGGTGCCCCCAGTCCCCAGGTATGGTGGGTTTTGGTGCTGAGGACAGTAGTTTTTAGAAACAGCTTTTTCCTTTTTTTGAAATCCCTCCCAGAGGGCCTAGGGTGAGTCAGACATTAACAGGCCATTTCGGCCCATTGGATAAGAAATCTTTCTACATCCTGTCCCTGGCATAGTATCCCTGTAATGGGTGAGTCATGCTCGTGACCATTAACAGACCATTTGGACTCATTGATAAAAAGGACTCTTCAACATCCTGTCCTTGGGACAGTATCTTGTGACTGTATAAAAGAGCCAGAGAGAAAGGCATGTGTGGCCTTCGCTCTGGCCCTGGGTCACTCAAATTCATGCTTAAAAATAAACCGCATTATTATTTTTGCAGAGTTGGTTATTTCTGTCCACGGTGCTAAGCATCCACAAACCTCAGCTTCTTCAGAGAACGGTGCTTGGCTCTAGAGAGCCCCCATCCCAGCCTGGAAATGACACCACCACCACCAGTAACCCGTGAGTGAAGCTGGCTCCCTGGTCGCAAGGTGGGACCAATTCCGAATTTATGCTCCCAAACTGGCTGTGGGTTCAGGTTGAAGCTCCTCACCAGCTTCAGGCCTCTGGCATTACTGAGTTCCTTCTCCTGCCTCTCCTCTTCCCTCACTCCATTTCTCCTGACTGCATTCCTTCAAGAAGTCTTGTGTTTCCAGTCCTTGTCTCTGGCTCTAGCATGCTCCAAGTCAGTGAGTAAATCCTATTTCCAACAATCGACATACAGATACGGTATGATAAACTTCGTAAATATCATCAACTCGCATTTAGAGGTTATATTTTAGAGAATTTAAACAAATGTGTACTAGATTACTATGTTGAAGAGGTCTTTTTTTCCCCTTATGTGAGAGAGAGCAGAAGAGAAAGAGGTGAAACAGAGATTGACTTTTGTGTGTGTGTGTGTGTGTGTGTGTGATAAGATGTGTGTGTGCACTGGAGAGAGAGTGAGAGGAAAAGTGAGAGATACCCCACACCTGGGAGGTATGGTCACGCTGCAATTCTTTTTCCTCTATTCTCCTCCTGGGATTTTGGGCACACACAGTGATGCACCTGGAGTGATTTCTCAATCCTCTGGGTCTGGAACTTGAACTGTTGGTCAGCCATGTGGGAGTACAGCTTTATAACCACGGTGTCACCTATTGGCCTCAAGATGCACGTTTTTGACAGGGTCTCACATGCCATGGTTTTCCTGCCTCAGCCTCCCAATTAGCGAGGATTACAGGCACATATAGCTGTGCTCAGTATGTTCAGATGGGCCCAGGAACCGAACCTGAGCCTTTCATATGGTTTCCAGCCTCCTCAGCAGTGGTGCTATCTGTGCATCACCATGGCTGGACCAATATTGGAGAGTGTGCTTCTTTACCCTTACTATAAAAACTCTATGATCAGGGATATGAGATGCATTAGATCGTTGGGAAAGTCCTGACACATTTTACATAGAAAAATACATCATGACTTCCCAATGACCTAATAGTAACAAAATGTTTGAACTTAAGGGTTTTTTTGAGAGATTTTTGCTATAGGGCAGGTGCACTCGCCAGAGAGAGAGAGAGACAGAAAGCAAGAAATCACACACACACACACAAACCGCCCCCCCCCCAACCCCACTACCCCCCACCGGAGGTTGGTCACACCCCAATCCCTTCTTCTCCATTCTCTTCTTGAGATTTTGGGCATGCATTCACACGCACCCAGTGTGTTTTCAGCCACCAGGTCTGGGACACAAACCAGTCAACTACTTGGGAGTCCACCAATGTAACCATTATGCCATCTGCTGGTCCCTAAACTTAAGATCTTTGACCCATCTGGATAATATTTATTATTCTTTGGTTTTCCCAAGTTTCCAGGGGTGTAAATATTCTCCAATACTCTTCTCATCTTACTGAGAACAGAAATATAACCCCATGATTTTGAATTCTTCATGTACTTTCATCAAGATTATCCTCTCTCAAGCCTGACCATTAAATACCATGTGGCATGTTACTTAGAGTCTCTTTTAGTTTTAATCAAAGCCAACTCAAAATCAAAATATTTCTACAGTGACATGAGTGTATTATATTCTTTAAATTCTACCCAGCACCAAGTATAAAATAATACTTTGCCTTCTCCTAGGGTTGTTATTTTCCAAAGGCAATAGCAGATAAGTGATTTCATTTTCTTCTCCAAGCTTGGCCTATACGGATTTTGGTTGTTGTCTGTTTCATATCTGAGGAAACAGAGGTGCTTTGTTTCATTTGTGAAAGAATGGGGGTCAGCAGGTGGCATGGTGGTTAAGGGCGCTGGACTCCAACGTGGCTGACTGCAGTTTGAGGTCCGAACCTGGTGGCTTGCTTTCTCATTTTCTCTCTTTCTCTCTCACTCTCTCACTCTGTTCCTCTCTGGTCAAATTAAGATAGATAAATAAATAAATAAACAAACAAGCAAAATCATTGGGGAAAAAAAGTGAAAGGACCAAGTGTCATGCTCAGAATCCCAAATTCCAAAGCACTTTCCTAGCCCCAAGCAGCACTTTAACCTCCTGTGTTTACGCATGTGTGGACCCAATTGTTCCTTGTGTTTGTGTCATTGATCTGTCAGGCAGTAACACTTTCCCCAGTCCCTTTGAATTCTGCTGTGCTCTATTGGCTTATTAAGAAAGAACACTGAGTACGCTGTGTTTTGAAAATGAACTCTAACACTCCTGGGCCTTGCTTTGGTTTCTGTTCAAACAGAGCAGTTTGAAGATGGTTCAATATTGATTTATTTGCTTTCTTGATTTAGATTGTTTCTCTTTTCCTAAGAGCTCCAGGGGACTGTCCAAAAACCTTCTTAGGGTACACCCTAGAGGTACATAAGGGCAGAGTTGGGAGGGAGGAAAACTAAGTAATGAAAGGATTTGTTGAAGAAGAAGAAAGAGGGAGAAAGTAAAGCTGTTGGTTTTCTCGGGTTCTAGCCTGACCCCTTATTTTCCAAGTGCTATTGCATTTCTCCCAGTATAGGCCTTTCCGTCCTGCATTCTGTAGTTAAAGAGAAGTGTATGGGAAAAACATCAAATTGGGGAGCCAGCAGCAGGTGGTGTGGTGGTTGAGGCACTGGACTCCCATGTGGCTGACCATGGTTCAAGTCCTGGGCCTGGCAGCTTGAGAATCACACCAGGTGCATGTGTGTGCATGCCCAAAATCTCAGGAAGAGAATGAAGGAGAAGGGACTGTGGCATAGCTATCCCCCCAGGGGTGATTTCTCACTTACCCTCTCACTGTTTCGCTCAGGTGAGTGCACGTACTCTATGGCAAACAAACAAACAAACAAACAAAAAAACCTTTAAAAAAAGAGAAAAAACATCAAATTGGACTTTGGAGGTAGACCTGGCTTTGAATCCATCACTTTCTAGCTATTGAGCTAGTAAAGTTTCTTACATGCTTTTCTATCTTGTAACATGATCAAAAGAAGAATTACTTTTGCAAAATTATTTGAGAGTTTCATCAGTTTTCTCTAAAGCCTCCCCTAAGCCTCTGGTTAGTCAAATAATTTTCTTTTGAAGTCCCTGAGCAATTGGTTTGATTGTATTTCCATTGTAGACTCATACAATTAGCAAGAGGCCACTCTGACAGAATGAGATGTTCTGGGACATGCACTAGCCTTAAGAGGAGAAATGTTTGCTGGAGTGGGGACTAATTGGATAATATTAGTGATAGTTTCATCTTAAGATGACTTTGCTTCTCTGTGCAGCCTGGCAACAGCAGGGACTCAGATAATGAAGACTGAGCTAATGAGGACCCCCTGGCATTTTACAGACATTACCTCTCCTTAGAAACAACCATAGCTTGGCTGATTTGATGAGGGCATTTGGTGAATAACTGAGGCAGGCAGACTCTGAGATGAAGGCCAATGGTCCTTGTTTCCTGGCACTCATGCTCTTATATAATGCCCCTTTTTTGGGTGTGGATAGGACCTGAAACTTGCTTTAAACAACAGCTGATCAGATGCATATGACTACATGTCTATTACTAGGCATCTGGAAAGTCATGATGTATTTTTCTATGCAAAAATGCATCACAACTTTCCGAACGACCCAGTAGTATGCTGTAGAAGGTCTTAAAGCCCTTCCTGCTAACAGACTCTTCCTTGCTGGTTGTGATGAAGCAAGTTGTGGTGTTGTGAGCTGCCCTGCAGAGGGCCACGTGCCAGGGCTGAGAGGTCTCTAGCTGACGGCCAGCAAGAGATGGAGGCCTTTGGTCCAACAACTCACAAGGTGCTGAATTCTGCCAATGTCACATGCACTCGTAAGTGGACCTCTGCTCAGTCAAATCTTGAGATGAGACTGAAGCCCCAGCCAGGACCCTGACTGCAGCTTTCAGACCCTGGAGTGGAGAACCCAACAAAGTTATGTCTAGATTTCTGCCACACAGAAGCTGCGAGGTAAGAAATGTGTGTCAGGGGCCAGCAGTGGATGTGGTGGTTAAGACATTGGATTTCCACATGGTAGACTGCAGTTTGAGTCCTGGGTGCAGCAGCTTGAAAATTATGCTGGGCGTGTGCGTGCCCAAAATCCCAAGAGGGGTGTGGAGGACAACAGATTGCAGTGTAACCAACCCCCTGGGAGGGTGATTTTTCACTTTTCCTCTCTCTGTTTCTTTCTGGTGAACTCATGTGCCCTATGGCAAAAAATAAAAAACAAAAACAAACAAAAAAGAAATGCGTGTGGGTTTTGGTGGTGTTGTTTTGAGAGGTTTTTGCTATAGGGTGTGTGTGCTTGCCAGAGAGAGAGACAGAAAGAGAGAAATCACCCCTACAATCCCTTTTCCTCCATTCTCCTCTTGGGATCTTGGGCACACACCACACATGCCCTGCATGAGTTTAATCCACTGGGTCTGGGACTCCAACCACGGTCGACTATATGGGAATCTAGCAACATAGCCATTACACTAACTGCTGGTCCCAGAAATGTCTGTTGTTCTGAGCTGCAAAGTTTGTTATCCAGTAACAGATAACTCATATAATTAACAGTCAAAAATAGTCTGTTATTTATGAAGCATCTGAAAAAAACCCTACCTTTAAACTGTGTACCTCCTGCAGCCTGAGATAATGCCATTATCCTTTGTAAAGATGACAACGCTTGGTATCAGCAGTTAGCATAATGGCTATGTTGCTGGACTCCCATGTAGTTGACCGTGGTTCAAGTTCCGGACTCAGTGGCTTAAAACTCATGCCAGGTGCGTGTGCATGCGAGAAGGGATTGTGGCATGGCCAGCCCCCATGGGGGGTGATTTCTCGTTTTCTGTCTCTCTGTCTCTCTGGTGAGCGCACGCACCTTGTAGCAAAAACCTCTCAAAAAAAATAAATAAATAAATAAAGACAACGCTTGCCCTCCTCTCAAAAAAAATAAATAAATAAAAAAAGACAACGTTTTCCCTCTCCCCAAACTGAGAGACCCAGCTCTTGAGTCTGGCATTTCTGAGTAATGGTCATTTCTCCTCAAGTTTCATGACAAGACCATCTTGTTCTATAACATCTACACTAAGTTGTAAGGTTGATCATCATTAATACAGACTATATAAAATAGAGAACAGCTAAATGAAATAAAATAGGAAATTAGCACTTAAAACTGTACTTGATTCAGCAAGGAAGATAATAATAGTAAACATTACCTTCCAGGTACTTTATTTATTTCATTTTTATAATTAGTCTACTAATAAAAACTCTTGTTTTCTTTTTTTCTCCCTCTCTTCTTCCCCTACATGGTAGGAAAACTGAGCCAAAGAGAAGTTAAGAGACTTGTTTAAAGTCTTCAGCAGTAAATCTGGCATCTGAACCCATACAGTCTGACTTCAGGATCTGTGCACTTAAGCACTTCACTAGACTCCTTCTCAATACAAATAGCTGCCACCATCCTCCTTCCACAGTATTCACAAGGGCAAAACTGGTGTTTATAATACCTGTCCTCAACCACCCATTTTATTTCCTTTTGCCCATAGCAACCACTTCAGCTGACTGGGGAATCTTTATTTTGTAAATGGGCTCAAGAAACTGACTGGGTTTGAATCTACTCTCGCTAGTTATATAAGTGTGGGCAAATTGTTAAAATTTAATTTCTTAATTTTTTTTTTTTTTTTTTGCCATAGGGTATATGAGCTCACTGGAGAGAGATAGAGAGGGAAAGTGAGAAATCACCCCCAGAAGGTATGGCCTTGCCACAATTCCTTCTCCCCCATACTCCTCTTAGGTTTTTGTGGCATGCAAGCACACACACCTGGCATGTTTTTCAAGCTGCCAGGTCTGGGACTCAAACCATGAAGTTGGTCATGTGGGAATCCAGTGCCTTAACCACCATGCCATCTGCTGGTCCCACCAAATTGCTTAAGATTTCTTTCTTCTTTAAAAAAATAATTATTATTTAATTTTATTTATTATTATTTTTAAATTTGGTATAAGACATATACACGATGAGAGAGAGAGAGAGAGAGAGAGAAAATGAGAAAGCAAGTCGCCAGGTCTGGGACTTGAGCTGTGGTCGACCATGTAGGAGTCCAGCACCTTAACCACTATGCCATCTGCCAGCCCAGATTGCTTAACTTTTCTATGCCTTAGTTTCCTCATCTATAGATGGGGGTGACAATGGTTTCTATATTATAGGATTGTTGTGAAAGATAAATGAATAAATATATATAAAGCATTTGATTTATTTTAGTATGAAGGGACAATTTCAGAAGTTTCCACTTAACTCTTTCTATCATAAAAATATTCATATCACATGTTGAGAGCCAGTATGACTGTTCTGCTAGCACTTTGATTACAGGCACAGAGACAGTAACTACAGGATGGGTTTAAGGACCCACTGGGATCACATTGTGAATGATCCCACTGTGAGTGAGTTCCATTATCACCTATTTTTCGTAAATGTCCATCCACCCACCAGAGAACCCCAGATAGCATCTGGGGCTTTCAGGAGTTAGCATGACCTAGCAGGTACTAATAATCCTGAAAGGGCCATGTGTTTCCCTTTTCTCAGGGCCTAATTTCCCTGGTAAATGGTTCCAAGTGCCTGTATTAAAGAATAAAAGGAAGACCACAGTATACACTATAGGTGGCATTGCAAGGTTGACCAAGGCCATCTGGTCTTCCCTTTACTCAAAGGGCTCTGGATTTGGAAAGTGACTCAGGTCTGGAAAGTGGGTGAAGGACTGGGTATTCCATTATCATGACTAGTTAGTCCTCTGTTCCTCCTACTTAGATTCTATTGTACAAACCAAGTCTGCATGGGTATTTTGGCCCTAAAGACCCTAGGATCTATGAAACATACCCTCGAATATCCGAATATCCTAAGAGCCCAATCCTTACGGTAATCACATCTAAACTTTCTATTCTTTTTAGGAATCAGGAAGTGCTTACTCTGAGGGGTAAAGCTCTCGTTTGCCATTCCAGGAAAACTCTATCCACGGAATCACCTCCGTTCATCACCCCTGCCTGTAGAGAACATCTATATCCAAGAATACTAACAGTCCTCTTCTCAGTGTTTTCTTTTCTGGATGTGGGTAAGTAAATCACCTATTATAAATCCATTCTAGAGTCAGCAGGCAGTGTGGCGGTTAAGGGGACTGGTCTCTCATATGGCCGACCAGGGTTCAAGTGTCAGACCTGGTGACTAGCTTTCTCACTTTCTCTCTCACTCACTCTGTCCCTCTCTGGTCAAATTAAAATAAATAAGCAAATAGATAAATGTTAAATAAAATAATGTAAAGTAATAAAATAAATTCATTCTAACGTTCCTATTTCCTTAAGTCTTTGGATTCCTTTCTCCACTTAGCAGCAAGGACTGGATGGCCTCTGAGCTTCACATGCACAGGCCACCAGGAGCCTTAGTGCTAGACAGCCACGGAAGACATCTCAGCCTCTTTCGGTTGTTTAATCTAGCATGTTAAATCCAGGACTTTTGCTGAGGAATATCTATAAGATGAATATGGCCCAAATCTGACATTATATTCTTTTCTTCCTAATAGTCTCAGGGCATTTACTATAATCTTGTGATGCTTTTGGTATAACCTTCTTTTCCAGGTTTGATTTTCTAAAAAATGATAGAGAGCACATGTGCTTGAGAGAAAAACAGCGAGAGAACAGCACCTTCAGCTGGGCTATGTAATGCCGTGACCCTCTTTCCCCAGCCCTTCAGTTCCGCAGGATCTGGGCACCTACACACATGTCCAGAGTTTTCAGGCCACCAGGGGATCCAAACCCATGGCTGGCCATATGGCCTCCAGCCTTGCAGGGCACTTGCATTCCTGATGTGCCACAGTGGTTGGACACCTGGGATTTCAGGACATGCTGGAATCTGACTCTAGTTGTGTGTCTGGAGTCAATGAGAGCAGAGGTCAAGGTGGGTCATGAGGACATCGTCTTACAAGATGACCATGGCATGATCCTCACAGATTCTGAATGAGTCAAGGCCAACCTCACCGAAGTGGGAGGAGAGGCTGGTTTTATTGGCCCAGATGGTTTTATGAATTTTGGAGTTTTAGCTTCTTGGGGTTATCTTACATGTACAAAATATCTTCATTCTATTCAGTTGTACTCAGGGAAAGAACCACGCTTTCCCAACCCACACCCCGAAATACCCAGTGAAACCGTGACTCCACACTATTTTGTAATTCATCAATCTTCAGGCTCCGTCTCTGCCTCTAACTTTCAGCTTCATTAGCCCTGTGCCTGCGTGAGATAAAAGAGTATTTTCGAGAAGTCACAGAAACATCCTTATTCACTGGCCATGCTTTGAAGGGAGAAATGAAATCCCTAAGCCTGTCATGTTTTTCTTTAAACTTTATCTTGCAGTTGGATGGCGCTGCTCACTTTGGAGCCTTTCTAATCCTCCCTCCTCGGCCCACCAGAGCCTTGCTTTCAACAGGCACTTCACTCTGTGACTGAAGCTGACAATTTTTGTGTCTTCCCACTGGGTGCCGTGGACTTCTGTGAGCCTAACTCATGACATAATCAAATGCCATTTTATATTCATCTCCCACCAACTCTCTAAACTTTATTCAGGCATTGGAAGAGGAGAAAATGACCTCCTATAGCCCAGAATGAAGTTTCTGACGGCTTTTATGGCTCCTCTTTCTCTCCCTGCTTACCTCCACCTTGGCCTGCCAGCTGTCATCTTCTCCCTTGGGTTTGAAGGTAGAGAAGGGGGTAAATGAGTTATTATTTGATCTGGCAGCTTCATGCTCTCTGGGCCTTGCTAATGATTAAAGCTGGTGGCCCTAGGGGGCTCTAGGATGGCTCACGCTGATTCTGTCTCTCATGACTCTTACATAGGAATTTTGGATATTCCCAGCAGGCCTCCTCACCTGCAGTTCCCTTGACTCAAGTGGATATAGCTCTGTTCCAGGTTTATCTTTCAATTTTTTCCTTAGCCTGTGGGCAGTCAGCTTCTTTCTACGAGGTTCTTCTAAGAGCATCTACTGGACAGGACCCAAGGCTTACTCTTGTGTAACAACACGTGTTCATAGGAAGTCTCTTCATCTTTTCTCTCAGCAAACTCTGAGAGTGCCCCTGGTCCCAGGGCAGCAGCCCTGATGGTTCTTCCATTTCTGAAGCACTTCGCCAGCCCTTCTTAACATTCTGTGTTATCTTGGTTAAGTCGGACTTTAGTCTACAGTCTGTTGGAGCTTTCTTACTCATTAGGCCCTAGTCTTCTCTGTCTTCTAATTATATCCCTGAAATCCAAAGCACTGCCAGGGTCTACTGAAAACCTCCTCACTTGGTTCGAGGTTGGGAGATAGTACTCAGTCCTTCATCCGAAAGGCAGAAGACTCACCACAAAACAAAAGCTTCTTTAAATCAGCTCCTCAACCATCTTCTCCAAATCCTCTCTTGGATTTTAAATCTTTGATTTCACTGAGAATCTCAGGAGACATGGTATTCTGAGATTTAAGTGGCTTTGCCTCAGTTTAAGCTGAGGCAGGAATAGTGCCACACTAACTGCTATAATAATCATCTTAGTGGGTTTTTTTGCCTTTAATTGTCATGTTATACCTGTATCCCATCCTTACTGCTTTCAAATCCAACCAGGTCACCTGGTCAATCCCAGATTCCCAATACTTTGGGATCTCTTTCAGAAAGAGAATCGTCCCGAACCTGGTGGTTTAAAACTCATGCCGGGCATGTGTGCGTGCGTGCCCAAGATCCCGAGAGGAGAATGGAGGAGAAGGGATTGCAGCA